GTCATAAAAGAGACAGGGGGGCTACCATTGCTGACCTATTGCTGGCTTGTTCCCTGGCTTGTATTGCCACCCACTGGCATTAATGTTTTCTAAGTCACTTCACACTAGGTCACTATCCAAGAATAAGTATGTAGATTAGGAATACAGTTTGATGTTTCTTGTCAGTAGGTCACCATGGCAGCCAGACAGATAACACTTTCAGGAGCAGTCAGCAATGGCAGACTTTTCTTCTTATAATGGGTCTTGTTTAAGGTCCATAGCTCAGTAGTGTCCCCTGTGCCACCAGTGATTCCATTACAGAGGCACTTTGGGAATGTTCTTGGTGGACGCCCATGGCTGTCATCGTTTCTATACTGTGCATCCATAGAACACAGCAGGGGTGGATGAATCACAAGAGACCCTCTTCACAAATCTAGAACAGTGGATAAGCGCACAACTGATGGATAGACACTGTGTTGAGGACTTATGAACTGGGGAAGTTGGTGTGCAAGCTCCTTAACACAGGGAGAGGATCCCTGTACAGAAATATACAAAAGAACTTTTAGGAGCGCTACTACCCTGGGGCTGCTAGTGTCTATTAGTGTGTGGAAAAGATAATAGACTCACTGTTTAGGAGACAGCTGGTGTGTCTGTGTATCCTCTGGCTCTGAAATGTACGGTCCTTGACAACCAACTGGCTCAAGGGGTGGATGGCTCCAGGGATCGATAGTGGTAGATCAGGGAGCAGTGTGGGACAGTGAAGCACACCATCGACCCCTGGAGCCATCCACCCCTTGAGCCAGTTGGTTGTCAAGGACCGTACATTTCAGAGCCAGAGGATACACAGACACACCAGCTGTCTCCTAAACAGTGAGTCTATTATCTTTTCCACACACTAATAGACACTAGCAGCCCCAGGGTAGTAGCGCTCCTAAAAGTTATTTTGTATACCTCTTCACAAATCGCCTAGCAAGTAAGTCCGCCCCAATAATTGTATTTCATCAGCACACGTATCTATTTTGCTGTCAATGCCCTTAAAAAGTCTTTCAAAAACGAACAATTTTTTTTTTACAGAGGACGAATCCGACCTCCACAAATTATCCGATTTCCCTTCCCCCTTTGTGGAGAGCGCTAAGCCGCAGACCGGCAGCCGACGGAATTATTCAAATATGGAACGTGTTAACTGCACCAAAGAGGCTTATAGATTGATTCTCGTTACATTATTGAGCAATATCTGTGAATTATATTACAATAAAAACAGTGTTACTGGGGGCTAAATCTAAAACCAACGCAGGTAGGGACATTTAATTCAGATCCGCGTGAGGCTGGTGGAGTTTCGCTGCAACTACTAGAGGCAGAGAATGAATTTTATTGGCCTGGAGAATTCAGCGCAGCTATCAGACAAGTATATGAAAGAGATACTTATAACGCTCGCAAACATAAACGTAAAACCTCCCGCGCTAGTTAAAAACGGTGCCATTGATTTTACCTCTCATCCCGAGGAGATGAAAGATATTATGGTCTCATGTTAGGGATAAGGGATGTCGAAATTGATCTTGGCGCAAGTTTGCCGACACTTTCGCTAATTGTGCCGCTTTGGTGATATTTGTTTTTAAAAAATGTTTTTTTCTTAATTTAGAGCTTTTTTGGGGGGCGGGAGGGGGAGGGGTGTATTGGAGGAAGTTTATTTCAATAAGGGGTCAATTTATTTATTACAGATATTTATTATAGAGCATTGACAATTTACATAGTTGCACATTCACATCAGTCCCTACCCTCATGGAGCTTACAATCTAAAGTCCCTATCTCACATACATAGAGGGCTGACTTAGAGCATGTCTTTGGAGTGTGGGAGGAAACCCATGCAAGCACAGGGAGAAGATGCAGATAGTGACCTGGCCAGGATTTGAACCAGCGACCCCAGTACTGCAAGGCAGAAGCGCTAAATACTACGCCACTGTTGCTGCCCAATTTACAAACAATTTTCAGGGCTCCTGGCACTGCAAACATCTATGAATGTATAGATGTTTGCAGCCGACGTGACACTGCAGCTGTAACATGTCAGCTCTATTGATTGAGAACTAAGTGATTATCAACCATTAAATCGCTCAGCTCATGGTCTTCTCCCTGCAGAAAGGGGTTGACCGTCAATCACCGCTTCACGCAGGGATTGCCCTCTCCAGCTTCATTGGAGGGACAGACAGGGGAGGGGACGGGCACAGCTGGCTTTGCCTCTAGAGAGGCAGGGCGAGTTGTCAATCAGGCAGTGGGGTGGATCCCAACAATATTGTTATAATCTTTTAGATTGTAAGCCCTCAGGGGCAGGGTCCTCCTTAGCATCTTGTCTTGATTTACATTGTGATTGTAATGTCTTCCTTATATTGTAAAGCGCTGCACAAACTGTTGGCGCTATAAAAATCCTGTATCATAATAATAAATAATATTGGTGGGCTCTTTCCCAGCTGCAGTGCAGCTCTGCACTGTCAGCATAGAGCAGGCAATAGCCTGCTCTATGCTGAGTTTTGGGTCACTGGAGGACAGTAGTTAATCTCCTCCAGTGACCCTAAAGAGAACTACAGCCAAAAAATGTTTGACCATAGTTCTCTTTTAATATATTTTCTTTTCAGGTTGAATGTGATCTAATGTAATCCTGCATTATGGCCACTAGATGGAGCTGAGGAGCATAGGGAATACATACATATTTTCTATGCGCCCCAGCTCCATCTAGTGGCCAAAAATAAATAATTTCATGCAGATCACCCTAAGTAAAGTCCACATGTGATGTTCAGCCTCTATGATTGAAGGAACTAAAATCCAATGAATGAAAGGGGCGGGGCCAGGGACAGTCAGGCTGGTTAGGAAAGCCCTAGATGATGCTGGGCGTCCTCCAGCCAGGAAATGAGGCAGGCTCTATCTGACTTGCTGCAGCTTCTAATGCACATTGGGATAAGCTCACAGTGTGCAGTGAGATAAGAGGAAGCCATTTCAGTTCAGGAGAGGAGCCGGTACAACTGTACAAGGCATGTAGCAAGGTCAGAGTTCAGCTTTAACTATTCCCTACTCTACAGAATTTTTTTTTGGCTAATTTAAAGTGACTCTATGAATGAAAAGTATGGGGGTCTACCATCTCTGGCCCTCTTTTCAAAAGGCCAGTACTTCAATACTTTCGACTCATGGGGTGGGTACAGCTGGAGGGGGCGGGTACAGCTGGCTCTGCCTTTAGATAGGCACAGCCAGCTGTCAGTCACGCAGCTGGGCGGATGCCGGCACAATTGTCGGGATCCGCTTCAGCTTCGGCGTCTCAGTATATAATGAGGTACAGCTCGCGGTATACTGAGCCTAGGGTGACGGGAGGACGCTAGTTTGTGTCCTCCCGTTACCCTAAGGAGAACTATGGGGAAAAAGCCTTAACCCCATAGTTCTCATTTAAAGAGTGTCAGAATTCCTGATCTCTATACACTTGTCCTGGGTCAGCGAGCACTGAAGCCAAAGCTTCAGGGACAGGCAGGACCTCGGATTCTCAAAGGAGAGGTCAGCAATGGCAGCCCCCCATACTGTCCTCATGACAGAGTCACTTTAAGGCTCTACAGTATTTTCCAGCGCAGATCTGAAAATGAAAGCCCGCATCTTATTACCATCTTCCGGTATTGCAGATTACAGCGCCGGTTCCTGAAAAGCTGACAGGTCTGGGGAACAGTTGGAGAGTTTCCGCAGTCACACTAGGTGCGTCTCGGCTGAATATATGCAGTTTGCAAATTTATTACTAAATTGGCAAAAATAATGCAGTTGATGTGCTAATTGATGCAAATCTGCCAAAAAAAAATGTATTCAACATTACTAGACGGAGCCTGGCCGCCGTACTTGGAAAATTCTTAGCAAATGGAAATTAAAAATGCACAAATGTCATTGTGATTCATAGACAAGAATAAAAGAAATGTATAAAAGTTAAGGAAAATGGCGAGATATATTATTTGAGTGGTCATTGCTGACCTGCCCCTGTGATAATACAAGTTGTCTGGCTGTTAGTGGCTTTGATGCTTTCTTAAAGTGACACTACACTCAGGAGTTATATCTTAAAAATACATTCAAGTATCTTAACTATTAACAACAATGTATCTTATTTGTGTATCACTCGGCTGTAGATCCTCCAATCATCTCTGAATTGTACCGAGCGAGCTTGGAGCGGTGACTACTTTACAACACACACAGGGACCATGGGGAATAATAGCCCCCCTCCAGAAGGAAGGACAGTGTCAGCACCAATTCAGAGATGATTGGAGGATCTACAGCCGAGTGATACACAAATAAGATACATTGTTCTTCATAGTTAAGATACTTGAATGTATTTTTAAGATGTAACTCCTGAGTTTAGTGTCACTTTAATCACAATAGGGATAAGTGAGTTTGCCTAAATTTAGTTTGCAGAGAGTTTTGTGAACCTTTACATCAACATACCCTAAACTTTGCGTAAATGACCCGGCAATACCAGAATTTACATCCAGTTGCCGGGTCATTAGTGGAATTGGTGTTATCTCCGGCATGCTAGCTGCATGTCCAGACATTTAAGACATGTAAATTGCCGAAAAATTCAGTTATTTCATTATTTCAGGACTCGAAATCGGAAATTCAATTTGGTTCAGGTTTCGGATTTGGACAAAATCTGAAGTTTTGTTAGTTTCAGATGAGCTTACAAATATTCATTGCAGAAAACCATATACAGATATTAATACTGAAGCTGAGGCTCCTAGACCCGAATGGCATTCGGGATCCAGGCTGGTTGGACCAAAATACCAATCTGTTTGCAGGTAAAACAGGCCCCTTCTATGTATTCCATCTTTGTATTTAGCAATCTGCCTGGAGCTTTAAACGGATTTGAGGGTTTGCATTTTTCCTGTTCCTGACCTTGCTAGTTTTTCGAGTAGGCTGCCCCTGAAATGGCAACAATGGATCAATACCGTAAATAAAATGAAAATGTAAAATCTGAAAGTCTAACTCCTCTGTAATGTATTCTTTGCCCTCAGGACAGTGACTGTTTCGAACCGAGACGCTGAGCTGGTCCACCTGGAGACCAAAACTGCTGAAGGATGTAAGTTGCAAACTCTTCTACTGTTCTTGTTACTTCTAACTTTCCAGTTGTTTCAATTATAAAGCAGAGGGAGACTGACATTTAAAGTGTATCGAAAGTCATTGTTCCGAGTCTTGGATATTTTAGGGAAGCGTTAGAACCCAATGTGAATCAGATCTAGGAACCATTTGGACCTTAATAGTTCTTCTGTGCAGAGATTATCTTTTCAGTTGGTTGCATCTTATATATCTCTTATGTGATACTGTACATTTATATTGATTCATACATTCCTTTTTGTTACATTGTTGCATCCTTGTATCCCTGATGAAGCGTGTTGTAACCCCCAAAACACTTTGGCTCTTTTATATAGTCTTCTATTGGATCTTACATTGGGATAAATCTATATAAGGACTATAAATCCTTGGTGTGGAGCTTCGGTCCCAGATCCTTCTTTTTCTATTGCTGTTCTGTGCCACTGATGGGGAGATTTAAAGTGATATTAAAGGTCAAAAGGTTTCTAACCACCTTAGTGCTGAAGAAATGTTTTCATTTTTCACACACATGCTAAAGTTGAGACCTATAAGCTGCAGAAAAATTTGGTTCAGTTCAGCTATTTCATTATTTCATTATTTCGGGATTCGGATCCGAAATGGAATTCGGTTCTGGTTTCGGATTCGGACGAAATCCAAATTGTCGTTAGTTTCTGATGAGTTTACGAATATTCGTTGTGAATTCCACAGAAAACCATCTACAGATATTAATACTAAAGCTGAATCTCCCAGACCCCAATGGCATTCGGGATCCCAATTTACAAATTACATTCCCGAGCTCCCGAATGCCATTTGGGTCTGGGTGCCTCAGCTTTAGTATGATATGTATATACTGTATTTGGCTCCTATGTTACCATAACAAAAATTCGTTTTCAGACCCATCCGCATGCATTAAACTGAAAAACACACCTGATTGGCCAGAAAAGTCACAAGTCCCATTCAATTTAGTTTTTGAAATTCGAACGAGATCCGAAATTTGGAAACAGACATGAATTTTCATTCGGAACTAAATGAATTGCACATGGTCTAGTACAAATTTTGGATAGAAAATGGCTTTAAACCTCCCACACAATTGTACATTTTCTGAAAGCAGAGGCCCTGTAGAATAATTTAAAAAAAAAAAAGATAGCTGCATTTTTTTATGTCGCATGATATTTGTGTAAATGTTCGTCAAAATTGATATTTTTAGGAAAAAAACACTAAAATGAATTTTAGTGCACACAAACACAATGTAATACCCAATTCTGGTAAAATCTAAAACATGGGTGACTTCGAGTAAACAGATCCCAAACATACCAAGTGTTGAAATTGTGCAATGGTGGAAAACTATGGTACTCAGCATTGTCCATATGCAACGTTTAAAAGCCTTTTTTCTGCTCCTCAATTTAGATATGTCTGTGAAGGTTCTCATTCATCCAGGTCATTGTGTATCTGTAAAAAATAAGTCAAAGCAAATGCCTTGCCTGATGTTCCTCAACTTAGAGTTAACAGGGAATTATGGCCCTAGAGTTATTGTTCTCACTCCGACATTCACGGTGACACGTGCATGCCGTACACCTGCATGTTTATTCGCATGCAGATGGCTGGGGCAGCGGGTTGGTTTTATTTTTATTTTTTTAATCATTATTTATTTGTTTACATTTTTTAACACGTTTTACATTATTACCTGCACCTCCCAGAAATCCAGGACCAAGATGAGAATTTTTTTAAAAATTCCTAATTCTTGTAAAATATTTTTGTTGATAGATTATTTGTTTGGGCATTGGGGAAGCTGACCGGGAAGCGGACCTTAATTTTGGCTGGAAGGTGCACGTTAATGGGATGTTGTTTAGTGCTATACATAGCGGGGTGGATTTATCAAAACTGGAGCAGCCGTGCATGGTAACCAATCAGCTTCTCTATTCAGTTTGTTCAGTTAGGATTTAAACATGAAACAGAGAAGCTGATTGGTTGCCAAGCACGGTTGTTCCAAATTTTATGTGCTCCACTTTTGATAAATTCCCCTAATTGTGTTCATCTTTATATTTATCACGTACCTGATGGGGAGACTGACCGTGTGAGGAGGCTTCCCCTTGCACCTTGTGTCCTAAAGCCTCTGGGAGCGGAGACAGAGACCTGGCGGACAGCGAGTGGCACGGGTGCCAGTGGTGTTGAAACCGTGCAAGCAGAAGGTTGCTTCTGAAACGGAGGTGGGGTAATGCGGAAATCAGGGTCAAAAACATGCCGAGGTCAAACCAGGAGAGTGTAGATGGTACAGAGGGATCAGGCAGAGACAAGTCCAGTATTCAGTCCAAGGTCAGTGGCCGGCAGCAAACAAGAGTAGTTCGAGGCAAAGTATCGAGTCAAAACCCAGGAGACCAGCAGTTCACAGGGACAGGTGTCACAGGACACGGGAGCACGGGGAGGGGCTGAAGACAATTCAGCAATCTGTAGGAGTGCAGGCCGGGTTTAAATAGGGAAGTAACCTGATGAAGTGCATCACTTCCGGTGCGTCACTTCCGGTGCATCACTTCTGGTCCGTCACTTCCGGTGCGTCACTTCAGGTGCATAATTTGGCGCGTTTCCCTACGCGTCATGCGCACAAGTGTTCTACGTACATCACGTAGAACTGGATTTGGCGCATGCGCAGAAGGTGAGGGTTGCTGACAACATTTTGACCTTCATGCTGTACCATATTATTTCTATCCTATGGCCTTCAGATTCTTTCTTCGGTGGCTATCTGTGTTTGACGGCAATCGCTCTCTCCAACCTGACCTGAATGGTAGACTGCCACTGAGAGAGAGATGAAGGACAAAACATTGTTCAGTACTAGACATGTCCGATTCGTTTCGTTCCGAAACGAAATTCGGACGAAATGTCTGAAATTCGTAGATTCGGAGCGTCCGAATTTTAGAAATATAACATATCCGAAATCATCTGAATCCGAAATTTTGGATTTGGAACGAATTTCGTCCAGATCCTGCGCATGCACTGTTAACATTTAAACGGATAAAAACAAATTAAGAAAAGGATTTTAATGTCCCTTTAACAGTAAAAGTAAATAAAAGTAATTCACCGGCACACACTTGAAGGGTTTTTAAAGTATTGATATGTTTATTCAATACCCAATGTCACATACTGTCATACAGTGTCACAGACCGTCACTGTCGCTCTGATGAAGGATCCATGTGCGGACCCGAAACGTTAGCACCATATGACAGTATGTGACATTGGGTATTGAATAAACATATCAATACTTTAAAAACCCTTCAAGTGTGTGCCGGTGAATTACTTTTATTTACTATTAGTGTTTTGCACGGCGCCATCCGTGTGGTCACCTGGGCACCACATATACCTTGTGGTTTTGAGACCGTGGCAGTGCGAATGGGATTTGGCCTTTAATAGTAAAGACGAGAGCACAGCAACCAGAAATGACAAATGTGCCAATTCTGCTACCCCACCTCAAGTTGAATTTTCGTGAATTCCGACAAATTCCGAATCCGAACCGAAATCCGAATACGAATCCGATTCCCGAAACGAAACACATATAGGATCCAAATTCCGAAAAACGAAATAAACTAAATCCAAAACCAAACTAAACGAAACGGATTTTTAGCCGCTGCACATGTCTATTCAGTACTGCCAAGCAGGAAGCACAGCTTACCTAAATTCTACTTTAAACTCAGAATGCAAGTGAGCATGGAAATTCCTGTAAGTGGCCATAATGTGGTGTAAATCCACAACTGAGATGTTTGCTGAGCAAGAAGCTCTGCAAACATTTTATAAATGCACCCCCTAAGTGAATTTAAACATGCTTGGGGCAAACAGAGACCTATAAAAGGTTAAAAAAAGGGGCAGACTTGATGGACCTCTTGGTCTACGATTCTTGGTTCTTGGAACGATTCTCCCGTTGCTCTTTTATCTTGCTATGTTTTTATTAGAATTTCTTTTGTCTTGTCCGATAACAAGGAAAAAAAGTAAAAATTTCCCCATAGCTAGCTTGCTCGATCTCATGAAATGGTAAACATCTCCCAATTGTCCCCGCTGCCTTCTCCTATCCGCTCGTATTTCTATCGTAGTCTCCTTCCCCCCACCCCACCTCCTCCGGACTGTGACTCTCCCCCCCCTCCCCCCGCTGGAGAATACTATTAAACGGATACTCTTCTGTAATGGAACTCTGGCCAAGTGCGGTGAAAAGTTTCAATGCAAATGAGTTCTTATCGTTCTCATGCTAATCACAGCGTTTGAATCGCAGAGATGAACCTTTTGAAACGCCTCCCTGAAAAGCCTTTTTTCACGCCTTTTTCGGAGAGATTTGAGGATTTTCCCTGCTCGGCATTACACAGCTTAATTCCATGGCTATAGATTGTCGGATATTAAATTCAATTAAAATAATAATAAATAAAAGGGCTCTTTTTTTTGTATTCAGATTAGGGCTCGGAGCGGAAACCGGAGAAAAGCCCTCTCATGACATTCTCCTCTTAGAGATGCTCCCAATGGCTTTTCACAGGTCCTGGAGTCTGTTCAGCTCCCCGCGGCTCGTGTGAAATATTTGCACTCTCAGTACAATTTAAAAATAAAGTGTATCCAAGGCCAAAACATTTTCCCTTTCGTTTGGTTTTGGATGTTTTTTTCCCCAACACCTGGGCTGGGCAGCTTTTTGATCTGGTGTCACCCCAAGGTCTGTACCCCAAGCCCATGCTTTGTGTGCACAGCAGAATAATGAGGATCTGGTACGTCACATAGTTCTCGCGTCCAGCGGGCACCATGATATCCGACACAACCCATAGCCCTGGGCAGGTCCCAAATATGAGCAGCGACATGTTTTTGAGGTCCACCAGTTTGCTTACTTAATTTTTTTACATGCTTTGCTTTACACCATGGGAAGAAATGTGTGGGCTGTCGTGGTTTTAAAATGGGAGCTGATATAGGAGTGATGTTCAGGTGTCCACAAAGTGTTGGCCATATAGCGTTCACATGTGATTCAGGGATGTTTTACTTCCATGCCTGACCTTATAGTTGGCCATATAGTGTGCATATGTGATTCAAGCATGTTTCACTCCCTAAGGCCAGCATATTTTTCACTTCCATGGCTGACCTTAGACCAGTTTAATGAAGAGACCCCTTTGCCTTGTTACGTTAATGAGAAGAAAAATAGTTTGAAAGAATTTAAGTCAATTTAAGATGCAAAAAAGTCTTCGCTGTTATGCGTAATTCAGTGCTGCGTGATATCCAGCGTGATTGCAGCTATGGTGACGCCTTCATCCACAGAAACCCATAACTGACATTAACGAGGCCTACATTCAATGAATGAGACAGAGGTCTCGCTGCATTTATCCCGGGTGCCTGTGCATCTTATGAGACGATTATGATGTTTCCGTCCACAGCAGCGTGTAGCAAATGAGCGAACCGTGGAGGGGATTCTAAAGGCACAAATCACCCAGCTATATACAAGCAATTACCGCTAACACGCCGCAGCATCTATCCGGCACCAACTGATACAATTCCTTGTCCTAATTTATATATTTCAGCCCGGAAGTGGGCAGGAGACAGGTCACACTATTGCAGCTTTGATGGGAATTTCCGCTTGCTGAAAGCCGGGCTCAACACAATACAAGGATCAATTATACATTCGCTATGTTATCTGTAATTCTGGCCTGCCAGTCTTGTGATGCTCTCACTGGAAAGCCAGGGAGACCACTCTACTGCTTTTTGGACCATCTACCTGCTAATTGGACAGAGGTGATCATGTTGACTTTTGTCCAATGAGAAGCTGAACAGGTGGAGAGCTGGAAGCTGCTTTGCTGGACTAGAAAATAAGTAGGTCCCATGCCCGGCTGTGCAGTGGCGTAGACATCTGTGAAGGTTCTCATTCATCCAGGTCATGGTATATCTGTAAAAAAAACAAAACAAATCAAAGCAACTGGACTTGCTACATTTTTCCTTGAAGATGTTTTGCTGATCATCTGACTAGCTTTCTCAATTCTAAATTGAGAAAGCCAGTCGGATGACCAGTGAAACGTCTTAAAAAACACAGCAAGTCTAGTTGCTTTGATTTGTTTTTTACAGAGAGTGGCGCAGATGCGTATAAATCACAAGACCGACAGAATTATAAATGACTGTATATCTATGTGTACTTTATCTACATAATTCTGCATTTCTTCCACCTTCTCCCTACGTTTGATGGGATTTGAAGGCTAGGGCGTGCCAGCACAGCTTAGTGCACACACGTTTTGAGAATTCAGAGACCCCCTTCATCAATGCTGGAAACACAATAGATAAAATCTCAACTGACATATTGTATACAAAAATGGTTTCAACTCGTTTTATAAACATAAATATGACATTCCTGGCTGGAGACTGAACTGGTAAGGGGCTGCCCATGCACCACTACTACACCACCACTGCAGTAGATCCCAAATTGTGGCAGATACGCAATGCTTTAGGAAACACAATATCACCCGTTTATGGTTTACACCAACTTAAAACAAATTAAAATCATACTTCCATACAATGTTGATTGACATTTTATCTATTACGCTCATAGCCCTGATGAAGGGGTCTGTGATCTCCCGAAACTTGTTGGCACTTTATAGGCTTCTTAAGACTAACCAAGTTCATTCAGACATTAAGAACTTTGCTTGCATGACTTTATGATACTTATTGTCACGTACCTGAGTTGAGACTATAGTAGTGAGGAGGCCTCCCTTGCACCTCGGGTCTTGAGGCCTCTGGAGATGGATACAGAGACCTGGCGGACACCGAGTGGCACGAGTGCCGGTGGTGTGGAGCACCCTGGAAGCCTAAATCCAATATCCGAGCCGGGGTCAAGTCCAATCAGGCAATGCAGTACAAAAGGGCAAAGCTGAAGAATGGTCAAGTTCCAAGCCGGGGTCGGTTCCAATCAGGCAGCAAAGTACAATAGGGCAAGGCAGAAGAGTGGTCAGTATACAAATCCGAGGTCAAGGGCAGGAAGCAGGCAAGAGTAGTCACTAGGGTTCCGGGTCACAACAAGTCCAAAGAGATAACACAACAGCACAGGAACAAGGAGAGACTGAAGATAATCCAGCAATTTGGCAGTGTCCAGGCCGGGCTTATATAGGGGAAGTGATGATTGAGGTTTAGGTCACTTCCTGTACGTCTCCTTGGCGCTTTCCCGCCTTGCTAAATCGTGCCGTCTGCGCATGCGCAGGTTGGCGCAATGACGTGCCGTCTGCGCATGCGCAGTCGGCACATATTTGTTCCAGTTCGTGAGGCAACTCGCCGCTGGCGCATGTGCAATTGGCACTGGACTCTTACACTTATCTATAACAGAGTTATACACTCCTTCACCTAATTTCTTCAACAGTTTCTGAGACCAGTCTGCGCCATGCGAGAAGAAAAAAATTAAAAATAAATTAATGATTTATATGTAATTATCTTTTATGCCTTTTTCCCCCCAATACTCGATTGTGTTTTCCATCATCGCCCTCCTTATAAATATGCTATGTGTGCAGATGTGGTATACGGTATACACAGTTTCAGAGTGGGCAAAGGAAGGCGGTATCACCACTCCATTCAATGGAAATGCCTTGGTGCTCCAAACAAAACAGATTATGTACCAATGGGTATTGTAAGCACTCAAAGGGCTTCCATTGGTAAACAATGGAGACTGTATTGTAGCTTAATAGCACTTATGTTTCAGCAGTAAAGCTACCATACCGTCCTCCTTGTTCACCTCTGAAAGCCTTTTGAGGGCCTTATAATACCTACTGCTACAGCACAGAATAGATACTGGAAATCTTTCTAGCCTTAATATACACAGCTCTATAATACCCCTTGGGTAGTGGACTCAGATTGTTGTGCAAGCAACCTTTGACAGTTGGAAGCGTAAGCTCTTCACGAGTGTTTACTGTACCAGAACCTTTGATCACCAGGTTCTTCGCCATCATTAAAAGAATGTGTCATCTCAAATCTGTGGTGTAGTCCACGGAGAATTGTCTGTGATGTTACAATCTGCCAACTCTTGCTTTTTCAGATGCACAGTACATTGTCTGCAAGATGAACAATTGTTCAGAGAGCGTAAGGACGAAACCCTTTCCTGGATACATCGACACCAACTCTCTCATTGTCCAGGATGAATATGTGTTTGTTCAGGTGAGCGAAAAGTGATTTTGCTAGACAAAAATAAATGTGTTGGTCAAGTCACAGATATTTGCATATTGATCAAGACATGTTTAATAATGGTGCGCCAAGGCAGAAGCTGATCCCCAAACTTGACCCCAGTGTGGACATTCCCCCTCCTACCCTTGGTCATGCTGTAATGGTTAGGGCTTCCTTGTGAGTTGAACATCCTTGCTCTTGTCTCAAAGTTTACTCTCTCTCTACGGAGAATCCTCTAGGGAGCTGGTCATTTTGTCATTATGGCGTCATTGGTGGTTTCTGCATTGGGGTGTACAGACATTCGGGGGGAATTTATCAAAACTGCAGCCGACAAAATCTGTAGCAGCTGTGCATGGCAACCAATCAGCTTCTCTGTTCAGTTAAGATTTGAAAATGAAAGAGAGAAGCTGATTGGTTGCCATGCTGCTGCTCCAGATTTTGTCTGCTCCAGTTTTGATAAATTCCCTTCATTGTATTTTATAGAGTAGGTCCAGGAAGTATAGTTGAAAGCCAAGCACAAGCTGTTGAAGCTGGCCAAGAACTATGAGTAGATCTTTCCTCCATCCTTCTTAACTCTCCTTATTCTGATCAGAGATCAATAAATATACTCAATCTATGCTCCAGTGCTGCCTCGTGAATCCACACTCATCCAACCCCACTCACCCTCCCCTCCACTCCCTGCGGACCAGCCCAAATAATTCAACTCACTTCCACAAGAGGATGAGGATCCATGGCATCAGGTGCCAGGATTAAAGACCCACAGTTATAAAGCATGTTTAGAAAAAGATACAGTTGCTTTATCTTATCATTTGCCTATATCGTACAGGACTTTATGTCATGGTGACCTTTATATTTCTGCAACAAGTCCTGCCTTTATTCATGTATGGTTGAAAACTCTTCAATAAAAATTGCATGCAAAAAAAAAATTGAAAGGGGAAGGGGGCTGTTGGTCATTTTTAAACTTGAATAAGGCTGGATTCACAACTGTTTACTGCAGTAATGTGTAGTATTGACCATGTTTTACCACAACATATTTAACATTAATTCCCATTAGGATATTTTCATACATTATTGTCCCTGTGACATCTGTGCAATAAAAACTTAATCAAACCCACTTCCTCTGAGTCCAGGATGTCATGTATACGCTCCCTGGGAAGTGCACAACTAGGCAGCCTTAGTTCATGGAACTTTGCAATACAGGTCCAGAAGGAAGGAAAGCATATCTCTACCACAGGGAAAGATGGTCCGGTCTTAAGGCCGGTCACTAGCCCAGCCTTAAGACTGCAAAGAACAAGGTATGTATAGTGTGTGTGTACTGTATGTGTGTGGGGGCTTTAAAGGAGAACTATGAGGTGAGTGCTTTTCACAGTGCAATGAGACTGTCACAGGTCGGCTCAGTAGATCGGGAGGTGAGCGAACACATACCAGCGTTCGCTCACCTCTCGATCCTGTCATAGCTCTCTGCCGTGACAGGGGAGGGGCTAGATTCCCCCCTCCCTGCTCCGATCCGCCAGCGCTGACTGACTCCCCATTTTAAATTACCATCCTCATTTCCTGTGTCAGGAGGATGCATAATTGCAAACTTATTCATCCCAGTCCTACGGATACTGCCACCCCCACCCACTTAACATACCCACTCCACAGGCAGTCCTGCCCAGATCATGCCCACTTTCTGGGCGATCCTACACCTAATTATATGGGAACTTCCCAATCACGGCTGTGATCCCTTCAAATAATACACTTTTTTGAGTTACTATGTATGTTCAGTATCCTAAAAAAAAGGTGAGGCTAGGACACAGCATGGGACACACCATCAATGGGACAAGGCACCTGGATGTAAAGCCCTTGCAGGGACAGTTGGCATCTATGGAGACCCTGTACATACCTCTCATCTAGCAAGAGCTGACCCACACTCACAGGACAATGCCTATGTCCACATTAAAGCCTAACTTGGACAAAAATGTGATGGCTAAAAGGTTTTTATTTCTGTATTTGCCCCATTGTGGAGACTGCAGAGGGTGCTGCAGCTGCAAAACCTTATTTAACATCCCCCGTAGATGTTTCCTGCCCTGAATTTTTCCTGGGACAATCTTGGACAGTTGGCATCTATGGAGGATCTTTATAAGGTTTTGCAGTTGCAGCAACCTCTGTTGCAATAGTGCCTACACTAAAGGTGACAAGTCCGTTCTCAGTTGCCAAAACGACAGTTCCATGCAAGGTAAAGGAATACTCGGCAGGGCCGCTGCTGGACAAAGCTGCACAACGGGTCTGTAAAATAATGACTGCATTGTTAGGAGCTCACATAGACAGGATATATTCAGAGACCAGTTCCTTTTGCTGCTACAGACTCAAAGCTTTATAAAATTAGGGGTTTTCCTCATAATGGGGCACCACAAAAGTAGACAAAGTGCCTGTTGCCTTTCATTAACAGCTGGCACATGCACAATGTGACTACCCCCTGTTCACAGGCAAAGCCCAGTGCTGTGCCGCTAGATAATTCATCGCAGGGTTCCTGAAGGCCCGTCTTCTCGATTAGTTGCTCAATATCACCAACATGGGGTAATTAAGTCTTCTGGAAGCAAACAAGAAACATGCTTATCTCGACTCCGCTAATTGTATCCCTTGAGCTTAATCCTTTCGCTTCTTGCCGGTGAACATTTTGGACGGAGCTTTTTGGCTGAAGAATGGTTGTAAGCCCCAAGCATCGTTAATCCTGCTGTCTGCATGGTGTGTATTTCAAGCAGGGAATGGATCAACATGCAGGAAAAAGAGCAACTTACTGGATTACAGAAATTCCTTCTACGCCGCGCCCTCCCATCTTGGATTTAACAGCAGCGCTGTTTATTTTGGAACCTCCGCATTTGTTTAAGATTCCTGGTTGCTGCTTCACGCCAAGAAGAGTCAATCCATCTCAAGTCGATGAATTACTTTAAGTCTACCTGACACAAGTGGACCCCCACCAGTGATTATGTAAAGAAGGACTCAAATAAACCACAAACTGAATGGTAACAAAATAGTTCACCAGTTACAAAGAACAACTAGTATGTCAAATATTGGCATGAGACTTAAATTAAATCTAAATCCCGGTCTTTATAATCTCATATAAGCCTTATAGAAGATGTCTCATGAGGTATAAAAGATGACCTGCTGGTCTCTTCATCTCTATATACACAGCTATAAATAATGTTATCTGCTTTAGTTGAGATATGATTAGCCATAGAATCTTCATCTGTGCTAATATCACCTGTAAGCCCCACCCCCTCTTGAAGCTGCAATTTTGGGCGTTTAAATTAGGGAGTATAAGCCAGGGCCAATTGGTACAACACCCTCCTCTGTTGGGCAAGCTGCCATCATAAGCACTCCTGTGTCGCTTAAAAGATGCTGAGCTGGCATGCCCCCTCCCACTGGCTGACATGCCTCCTCCCCCTAGCTGACATGACCCCCTCATGAGGCTGACTCTCCTCCTCCCCCAGGCTGACATACCCCCTCCCCCTGGCTGGCATGCCCCCTCCCCCTAGCTGACATGCCCCCTCCTAAGGCTGGCATTCCTAATCCCCCCTGGCTGGCATGCCCCCTCCCCCTAGCTGACATGCCCCCTCCTAAGGCTGGCATTCCTAATCCCCCCTGGCTGGCATGCCCCCTCCCCCTAGCTGACATGCCCCCTCCTAAGGCTGGCATTCCTAATCCCCCCTGGCTGGCATGCCCCCTCCCCCTAGCTGACATGCCCCCTCCTAAGGCTGGCATTCCTAATCCCCCCTGGCTGGCATGCCCCCTCCCCCTAGCTGACATGCCCCCTCCTAAGGCTGGCATTCCTAATCCCCCCTGGCTGGCATGCCCCCTCCCCCTAGCTGACATGCCCCCTCCTAAGGCTGGCATTCCTAATCCCCCCTGGCTGGCATGCCCCCTCCCCCTAGCTGACATGCCCCCTCCTAAGGCTGGCATTCCTAATCCCCCCTGGCTGGCATGCCCCCTCCCCCTAGCTGACATGCCCCCTCCTAAGGCTGGCATTCCTAATCCCCCCTGGCTGGCATGCCCCCTCCCCCTAGCTGACATGCCCCCTCCTAAGGCTGGCATTCCTAATCCCCCCTGGCTGGCATGCCCCCTCCCCCTAGCTGACATGCCCCCTCCTAAGGCTGGCATTCCTAATCCCCCCTGGCTGGCATGCCCCCTCCCCCTGGGTGACATACCCCCCCCCCTGGCTGACATGCCTCCTGCCCTTGGCTGCCCTTGGCCTCCTCCCTCTGGCTGATATGCCCGCTTCCCCTGGCTGACATCTCCTGCCCTGCATTAGTATTGATGGTGCTGGTCAAGGTTGAATGTCTGCTACTTCTGATCAGCCAAACCTAATTAGCTATTCATCTCCTACAAAGCAGCCTGACTGAATAGCTGTGGGGGGAGAGGGGTGCAGCTGGAATTGTGGGTGTCCCAATTGCAGAGTTTAAGCCAAGCCCAGTTGGTATTGCAAGCTGACACCAGAGGCAGATGCAAGATGGGATTTGCAGTTTCACCTCAGCTGGAGGGCTGTAGTTTGCCTACCCCTGATGTACACGCATGTTTCTATACAAGCGGAAGGCCGGGTGTACAAGGACTCAGTAGATATTATCTATGTCCGTACTTTGTACCTTTTTTTTTTTTTAATTCAATTAAGGAGGAAAAAAAACAAAAAGTCTCCAGATCAGGCGTCCTGATGGCGTAGCAAATTTTAATTAGAGGCTTATCTCTGATCGGCTGCGTTTATCAGAAAGTTAGTTGGGCCGGCCCTTTAGATACAGCGTAACAGAGCGGGTTCTCTGTAATACGGCTCCCCGTGTTGCGCCAGACGTAGCTGCACCCCGCCATGCAGCAGAGGCAGGGAAATGAATAAATAAACAGAAGCAATGTGATTACAGCTTGTCGTTGGCACAGAGATATTGCTCAAGCATCTGCCCTTACAGCTCAGTGCACCCCCCCCCCCCTCCTTCCTCCTCTGCTGCAGAAAACAAGCACAATACATATGTATGAGCACATTAACACTGATAAGAAACCTCAGAGAGCTTCTGCACTCCTCTGCTAGTCTAGTCAGAAAACAGATATGGGAAGAAGAGGAGAGAACTAATGTCACTGCAACTTGTCTGTACTCCACAGCAAAGCAGGCGTTTGCCAGGCTGGGTGATTAAAGCTGCTGCGGGCGGGCAGGCGGGCTCCTCTCCTGGACTGAGCATTAGAAGCTGCAGCAAGTCAGATAGCACCCACCTCATTTCCTGGCATACTTCAGCCGCCCCCCCCAGCTGCTGAGGACTCTGATAGCAAGACTCTGATAGCCACAAGCATGACTCCCAGAGGCAGGTGCATGATGGGATTTGGAGTTTGACCACAGCTGGAGGGCTTCAGTTTCTCTATAGCAGGGGTGCCCACATTTTTTGTGTTAAGATCTACTTTTCAAATGACGAGCTACATGAGATCTGCCAACGAAAAAAAAACCTCCTTCACTCTCTCTCTCCTGGCTGTCTCTCCTAGCTCATCCTTCTGGCTGTCTCTCCTCTCCCTCCTGGCTATCATTCCTCGTTTTCTCTCCTTGCTGTCATTCCTCGTTTTCTCTCCTTGCTGTCTCTCTTTGACCTCTTGGCTGTCTCTCTTCACGCTCTCTCCCCTGGCTGTCTCTCTTCACGCTGTCTCCCCTGGCTGTCTCTCTTCACGCTGTCTCCCCTGGCTGTCTCTCCTCACGCTCTCTCCCCTGGCTGTCTCTCCTCACGCTCTCTCCCCTGGCTGTCTCTCCTCACGCTCTCTCCCCTGGCTTTCTCTCCTCATGCTCTCTCCCCTGGCTGTCTCTCCTCTCTCTCCTGGCTGTCTTTCTTCTTTTTCTCTCCTGGCTGTATCTCTTTGATCCCCTGGCTGTCTCTCCCCGCTCTCTCTCCTGGCTCACCTTGCTGTATTTTTCTGTGTAAACTAATATTCTTTGATGTAATACATGGCACTACAACCACCGGTATCCCCCAGAAAGGTGTCAGGGAGCTTGGCTCAGCAGACTGAGGCTTATAGGTAATCATGTGCGCACAGCTAAATAAATATACCAACATGGAATAAAGGGGCCGCCATTCCCCCCCTTCCTGATCTACCAGCATCAGCTTTGCGAGCTACTGCTAGATCACTATCTACCTAATGGGCACCCCTGCGCTATAGTATTCTCCTTTGTTCCTCCCCCGGTAGTTACATAAAAGGTTATGTAGGGAGGTTAGGGGATGGGCCAAGGAACTGGGCCAGCACAAATGGTAATTGGACTCTCCTAAAAGAGGAGAGGGCTATGACATGCAAGGAGGGAGAGGGTTTCAGTAGGGAATTGGCTCTCCCTGGGAGGATACATTTTCTTACAAGTTTAAAGGCAATTAAAAAAATAATAAATTATAGAAAGAAAAAACTAGGGATGCACAGATACTTTTCGAGTACCAGTGCAGATACTTGGCATTTTCATGACAACTACCAGGATTGCAGCGGTTGCAGCGGGGACCTGGCCCTGGCACTCCACCACTGTCCTGAAATTATTCGTTTGTATTGTTTTAGAAAAACTGTCACATGACAATAAACAAAATTGTATCAGTACTCGTACTTGTAAGTACTCGGCAAGTATCAGTACTCGTAATCGCAAAACTGGTATCTGTGCATCCCTTTATTTATATTTATAAAAACAAAATCGTACATTAAGACAGAGATGTAGAAATCCCACGAGCTCCGTGTGCTCCTTACCAATGACAGCTGCCTCCTAATTTTTGAATTTTTCTCTAGTCTAGTCTTGGAGCTCAAAAGTATTGGTACATGTACTCGTACTTGTACCGAGTACTGTACTTGGTATCTGTGCAACCCTAGAAAAAACACTACAAGTAGGCATTTCAAATGCTGTTTCTGCACTTCTACCTGTAGGTCAGTGACAGGGTCTCTTTTCAGTCTCGTGACCGAACGCTGTACACACTCTGTACTGTCCTTTTAAATCATTTTTCTGCAAACAAACCCTTTCGCTGAGCACTTTACAAACTGATTTTTTGCTAAATTTATTTAAGAAAAAAAATAATAATTACCAGAAGTAAAAAATCCCATAATCCCCTCATTTAGAGCTTTCTGCACATTTCTGCCTTTTAATCTTCCGCTTCCATAGAGCTCCCTCCTTTACTGATTGCTAATGCACGGTGATTACAAGTCATCTGAGATTCTGCATATGCAGCAATAGAGCTGACCTGGTTTTCACGCTGACTGCGATCTGTTATAATGACGCTTTCAAGGCCAATACCGGTGAAAAGTTTACAATGGACCAATCAGAATAATCTGCGCTTCACAGGGGTCAACGGGACCCACTGTGCCATTACTAAGCAACATTCTTAATTTGAGTAAATAAGCATAAAAACAAAGGGGCGGGATGTTATGAGGTCATTGACTTTATATGGTCACATGGTTATATTTGGTCAATTACTGTCAAGTACCTGAGTGGAGACCAACCGTGGAGGAGGCTTCCCTTGCAGCTCGTGTCCCTCGACCCTGAGGATGGGAACAGAGGAGGAGTGACAGCGAGCTGCACGAGTGCCAAGGTAGAAGGTCCAGAATCTGGAACGGAGGCAGGACAAGCAGAGCCGAGGTCAAGCCGGGCGGGCAGCAGGGTGTTTGAAGCAGAAGACAGGAGCAAGATCCAAACAGAAGCCAAGGGTCAAATAAAGCCGAGCAGTAAAGTACAAAACAGAAGTCCAATGAACAGGCCGAGGTCAGGAGGCGGGCAGCAATCGAGAATGGTCAGAGGCAATCCGGGTCAAACACAGGAAGTCAGTAAACAAGGCAGGAGCAAGGAACACAGGGAACTAGCTGAAGATCATCCAGCAACTAAGGATATGGCAGGCTGGTTTATATAGGCCAATCCATTAGCAGCAGATGTGTCATTTCCTGTGCCCCTTACGTGCACATGTTTTCGTGCGGAAGTTCGTTGTGCGCGCATGCTAGCGCCCGTTTTCCAGTTACTCGGAAAACGGGGCCATGCGCATGCACAGAGGTGCTTGGTGCCTTCCAGTTACATTGAACTATTATGGTCATGTACCCATTTAAGGTCACTGACATCACATCATCCTTCCCCTTTATGTACAGCTGCAGAGTAACCCGCGCTTCACAGGGGTCAACAGGTGTCATGGAGGACAACATTCTTTATTTGGGTGAATAAAATAGAATACCCTCACTAATAATAAGCAAAGGTTCTGACCAAACCAAGTCCAAACCTGAATTCCTCCAAACGTAAAAGGGAGCTCCTTTCGCTAGAGCCCAATCAGCTGCAGCCGGGTATCTCCCTGTCCACAGTTATAGGTATGCAAAGGGGAAGGATGATGTGACGTCATTGACCTTATATGGTCACTTGGTTATTGAAATGCACCTGTAGTAGGCTGAGTCCGAAGTGGATCTTAGGCTGAGGATAAGGCGAAGATGTGGTCAGGCAGGCAGGGTCGGCAACAGTTTGGCAGCGAGGTACAAAGTCAGGATCCAGGTCAGGAGGCGGGCAGAGGTCTTGACATGATCGGGCAGCAAGGTACCAAATCGGCAGGTAGAAGAATAGTCAGGAAACAGGCAAGAGTCACGATGTAAATCACGCATACGACACAGAGGTCGCTTACACAGGAAACAAACCCAAATCAACAGGCTCAGAGCACAGGAAGTGTCTGGTATTTAAAGCCTGAGATAATTGCAAATCTTCTACAGCTGGTTGGCAGGTGGAGCCAAAGTGTCCATAAGGAGAGTTGCTCAGTAAAAAAAACCTGCAGCAGAAACCAATTCCTTCCATTGGCTGAATGGCTAGGTCTGTGCACTTCCACGCCAGAGACCCAGGTTCAGATGCTGATCAGACAGGTATGTGACAGTTATATGTAGTCAATCACATGGACCTAATATGGTCTTGTGGTCAAATAAGGTCAGTGAGGTCACATAATCCCTCCCGTTTACTTACGTACAGCTGAAAGCTATCAGAATAGTCCACGATTCACAGGAGACAACAGAACTCATGGAACCATTACCAAACAATATTCTTAATTAGAATAAATAGTACAGAATACCCTCACTAGGGAGAATCCCAGGTTCTGACCAAACCCGTTCTGAGCCCCTACGAGCATGGAAGTAAGCTCATTTCACTACCATCCAGTGGGTTGCAGCCAGGTCATTCCGGATAATGGAATGATCCATTGGGAACCATACTTAATGTGGACCTGTCATCAGGAATGTTTTCTTCAAGTTATGTGCATGCTAAATAATGTGTCAGTGTAACTACAAAGTTATAATATTGCAGTCTTATCACTTGGGGAGGGGAGACTGAGGAAATGCTTCCTCCTTCCTGCAGCAGACTGATGACATAATCTCAGCCTAGGCAAAGTCACTGACTGGAGCTCAATGATGGCTTTGCTAATGATAAAAGGTGAAGCTTTTCTGGAAGATGACATTGTTGTTGATGTATATTGTGACATGTCAGGAGTTTATTCATGAAGACTTGCAGAGCTACTGACAGGTCAATTTAATGCCCCCCCACCCCCATGGCCCTGGGACGGTTGCATTTCTCTGCCTTCATATGGTTATAACCTATCGATCAGATTAATGATGTCTTTCTATTATTTGTCTTACACAGCTGACCTCCGGAGGGCGCCCTCATTACTACGTGTCCTACAAGAGGGAACCCTTTTCGCAGATGAAACTGCCCAAGTATGCTCTGCCCAAGGTACTGTGAGCACGGGAATCTTTCCGTGTTACTAAATGACGTGTGCTGATAAATGCAATGGACGTTACATGAACAGTTTACATTTCTAACAATATTTTCCAGCGTTATCAAAAAAAAAAGTATAACTTTACAACATGTACAGCTTCAGGCTTTATCATTATAAGGACGACCCTGCTTCTGAGATCATTCAGATATCATTGACAAGGATTGGCAACTGCAGGTCATATCATTGGCATTGGACCTCCTTCTGCCCTGGTGCTTCTGCATTCTTCAAGGGCTTCTGCATTCTCATAGACTGCAATACCCATTTAAAACCTATTTGGAGCTAACAAAAGCCCACCAACATAGACCCTCAGACAGGTACTCAATTGCTATATTGAGTCATTCTATAGTTATTATAAAAGAAGAACACAGGAAGTAAAAGGAATCTGTGTTTCCCCCTCAGTTTCATTTTGAACTGTAGATTTCAGGTTCAATATAATAATAACAATATTATTATACGATAAGCATTAGATTAGCTGGTTGGAAACAAATAAAGTTTGTTTAATTTGAATCCATGAATTGTGCTTAGAAAGGGAAATTTTATGCAATAACTTCACTCCCTTCAACTTCTCCAAGATGGCGCGTGGTTTCCATCTGGGCTCCATCTAATATGGTGAGTGGGTGAGTCCCTATTTTCCTAAGTTGACATGAGACAATGATGCTTCTACGGCACCCATGTTTTTACATTATTGCTCCCTCAACCCCTGGACACTTTGCCTGGTGAAGGGGTCCTTTGCTGCTCCGAAACGTTGCATTCATATGTCATGCTAAAGGAATACGAATAAAGATGATATTCCGAAGCAGAATGGTGCGCGGACAACATATCTTCTAGATTGTATACTGTGGCGCCATCCTCCCGTTGTTCCAGTACCCGTTGGATTGTGGGGTATAACGGTACGGTGTGCGAAGGGGATATTAGAAAGACTATTGGAGGGGTGACACCAAAATTACTGACAGTCATATTGGTGTCACCCCCTCTAAAAAGTTAGGCACTCGGCCATGGACAGAGAGCCCGACAGTTGCATGAGAGAGGAGTGGACCCGGCTGCACACCTTGTCCTGCCGGATGAACATCCCCTCCTCTCTCTGCCGGCGTCCATCACCATCCATGCATGATGACCTCACGGTGGAGTGTCAACCGCTGGCCGCTCCGGGTGACACCACGCCTCAGGACGCCCCTGTGGGGGGCGCAAGGAAGTGACATTGTTCTGGCCCCCCTGATGTTGTCTCTAATTGATACTCTTTCCCTGATTAGTACACTTCTCACCACCATACTAAAAAAACTTTTTAGTATGTCAGTCCCTGACTGTTCTCAGCACCAAAGCTGACTCCCATGCTTCTCAGATCATGGCAACCGCAATCTCAACAGGGAATCTGACCTTCATCCCCAACCGTCTCACCGCTACACCTTCTCACCCCATCACAGCTTTACCCATCCCCCTACTCTTGACCCCGATCCTCCCCCCTGCTCTCACCACCTCTCCTGCACACCCCTATTTCACTCACCTCTGCACCTACACGCACTTCGCCACCAACGTAACAATGCACGTATCTGTGACAGCCACAACTGTTACGACATGCCCTTACATATGCAGACCGCTCAATGACTTGCTGGTCTTAATTAATGGGGGACATGTTGCCTTTATAACACCCTTACACTTTATGATTGTGTGCTAATGACTTTCCTTAAAAACTTTAATAATCAGTTCTTAAAAAGACCCAGAGGAAATACGGTCAGCAGAATCAGAAGGTGTCTATTAAAAGCTTCAAACACTTTCCAACATTATTGCAAGTATTCCAGCAGAATTGGTGGTGCAGCTGATTAAGTGCGGCGTGTTCTCCAGAAATTACAATTTAAAGTGTAAAAAAAAAAAAAGAGGCCTATAATTATCATACTGTCAGCTACATGAGCAGACGAGGTATCACAAGAGCAACACAGGGAAAATTGTTTAAGGGGACGTCTGTCCGCTGCCAGTATCCTCGTTCTTGGGTGAATCACGCCACGTTCAATAAACTTCTGTCTTCACCTAATTCTCAGGGACTCCAGAGGGGAGACCCAGGGGACTGCAACATATCCAGCTTCATCCGGAGTGATGGTTTCATGAATTCCCGCTGCAGGCTGTGCAGGAATAAATCTTAGAAGCCAGCAACAGTAGGGTGACATCATTTCTGAGAAGAAGGCCAAGCAACATGTGTTTAAAGCTTTGTGGTTGAGGGAGGGGAGGAGCCTGGGAAATGTGTGCGTAGAGTCTGTACAGTCTTGGGTTTTGCGTGGGTTTGACCCTACATTACAAAGACAGAGTGGTAGGATAACTGGCTTTCACTTAAAACGGCCCTACCTTGTGCATGTGTGCGACCACGGTGGAGACATTAGGTTGTCTATTCATTTGTAGATGTCAGAGGTTTTCTACAGTGCTGCCGAATAAGTTGTAGCATCATCCTAATGGGCATAATACATTTATACCGACCAAGCAGTTCACCTCCAAAAACTGCTGGGGTCGTAAATTAGTTAATTTGTAACGTCACAGGTCTTCACAATGAGCCGAGCTCTTCCCGGCTCTTCCCGTCACAATCTCATTATTATATTACCTAATCTGAACCACCTGGAACAATGATTCACTTGCAGTGAAAACTATTTCCTCTCCCCGACACCTGCCAGGTCACAGCTTGCTGCACTGCGCGGTCCCGTTGTTTTGTCATTTATCAAAAGGCAGAACTTGCAAGTATGTCTATTTCTTTGTGTTGCCCTTCCCTGCATCATTTATCTTGAAAAATTACTGGAAGATATCTACAGATTCATCCATTTTACAGATACATCCTTCCCAAAGGATGAAGCAACGTCATTAATCTGATGCTTTAAATCGATCGGGCTCTAACAAGGCAGCATCTATGGGTCCATGCTGCAAAAATAAAAGTTTAATTTATTTACTTCAATGAAGGCTTTTTGCCCATCGGTTGGTTTGTGACTGTTAACAGTAAACATGAGCAGGACTCTCCCCCCCCCCCCCTCATAGTTCTCCTTTAAACATTTTTGGGTTTCAAAAAGTATCACAGGTCACCAGTGGAATGGAGGGACACCAAATTGAGCCTTGATTTCGAGGAGTGGGCTTTGAGCTACCAACCTGGCCTCCTAAGAATTAAAATGTATCTAAAGCCAAACATATTTGTATCGTTTTCCTGTTCCTGCCTTGTACCCTGACTTGGACCTGACTCCTGATCCTTACCCCTGAGGTCTCTTGATTAGTGGCTCCCTCCTTGTTGTCCTGCTCCTCAGGGGTTGCCCTGTTGCCTCCGGGGTGTAATTGTTGCTTATTTTTTTACATGTTACTTGCGGGTGGTTGTGGTGGTTTATGGCTGTGGTGTTTTGGTGCAGCTAATAAATTATAGTTTGTAAGCATTTGTGGTCACGTATTGGTTCTCTTGTATAGATACCTGCACGTGGTGTGGGGACACCTGTGCACGGTATCATGACACCAGAATAAGAGTAGAAATCTTCCTTGCTTTGGTGATAACTGTTTTAAGTGTCACGATCTGGGATCAGGTTCAGGGTCCAGTAGCTGTTTGGTATAAAAGGCCGGGTTTGGTAGAGAAGCAGACGGTAGTAGTATATAAGCAGGCAGAAGCGTAGCCAGTGATCAAGCCAAGGTCAGTAGCCAAAGGTATCAGGTTTGAAGTGGAACGGAATAAGCTTAGTCAGTGAATCAGCAGCCAAGGGTCGTTACATGAGTAGCAGTATGATGAAGTAGTATCACAGTGGAAGCAGGAAGCAAGATAATGGCAGGAGCACAATAATCTGGCAAACAGGAAGTGCAGAGGCATGGCTTAAATAGGAAGTTCAGGGGAGGAGCAAGGAGTTCAGATTTCAACAGAAAACTAGGTTTAACTGAGGATTGCAACAGGAAATCAGGCAAGGAGCTATCCAAGTTCCAAGTGACTCAACAAAAAGAACCACTGGCAGATACAGCAGAGGTCCTGCGGTCAGATCCTGATCCTGACACGAAGAGGGCAAGTCATAGAAGCATCATCTCCCAGATTACCTGTGATCTTGATGGGGCGTGCAAAGAGCAATATTTGTGTAGGAACTCTGGAACTGCTATATAAATATATACTTTAGCAACAGAAGAACAATCTGACGCTCCATGTCAAGTAGGGATGTTAGTTTAGAACATGTCTCACCATTTCTTAACATGTCTTAGGTCAACTATAAGAAACAATGAGAAACTGATGGGCCCATTAACATTAAAGGATTTCAGAGAAAGATAGCTGAAATCTGTATGAGACTAATTGGCCCAACATATCTGATCCTCACACATGAAACATGCCACACATAAAATTAAGAAATAAAAAGTAAAGACAAAGATGTATTTCCTTAACAGGTCTCCATTCATATTCAAGAAGCATGTCAGTTTTGACATATTAATCACCATGATGGCAAGTTGTGGCATTTTAAATTGCAAAATTTTGCCAAAGTGGATCTATTAAGTGCTGACAGATAGGATGGTCATTTGGTAGACAATATAAGAGAGTGTAAGACCCTAGGTAGGACAGAGGCATTGGGAATAAAGGTACAATAGGAATCATATAGACCAAACTCTTGACCAGGAGTCAGGAGACATTTCTCAGGAAACCCTCAAGTAAACTAGAAGCAAGCTATGAGCTCCTTCTTCTGGTGCTTTTATGAAAGAATTCAATCCACCAATACTGATATTTAATTTTGATAATTGCTAGAGAATCAAACCACATAAGAGCTTCTTATATTTTTGAGGGCCTCCAGGTCTCTGGCCTTCAGCATCTTGGTCTGCACACCTACTGTGGCCATAAGGGGGTCTCGATCTCCCTGTTGGATATTTTATATTATGGACAATGTAAAAGAAACAGTGGGAACAGATTTCCAATCTCTCCTAAACTTTAGGTCCCACCTTTGACCAGGAGTCAGGAGACTTTTCTAAGGAAACTCTA